CTTCGGAAGAACCTCAATGGCATGTTACAGGTGACACCATTGCTTGCTTTAACTAAAGGAGCAGTCAAGATAATCCTCAATGAAAACATACCATCTTCTTTGTCTGATTCATCTCCACTTGCAGCTATAGTATAAGGGGCTGTTGTAAAGCTGTCCAAAGAAAGGGGGAGGATAAGAGGAGATTGTCCTACTGCTCCTGAATGTACCACTGGAGAAAGGATAGGTAAACATGCATTTATTGTGGCTTTTCTTTCTCTTGTATGGCTTATATCATCAGTTTCCTCATGGAGTTGAAGACACCATTCAGGACTGTATGGGTTTTGTAGCATGCCCAGAAAATTACTAGCGAGTAATTCAAGCCCCCACCACATCTTTCAACTTGCTTCAAAAGAAGCGTAAAATTTCTGGTTACCTGTTTATAGCATTATTGTCCTGCTGTATATAGTTAGTGTGGACTTAATTGTTCAGTATTTTAATTTTATTTAATAAAGTAAGCTACTTTGATCAGCGACATCTGAAGAACAACATTATTTAAAGAACAGCAACGCACTGTTTCAGCATGTTTCAATGTCTTGGGACAGCAGATCTTTGGGTCCATCCGTGCAACTAATCACCTTCTCAGGAGCAACTGGACAGCTTCCAGGCCCAGAGGTTGAGACCCACGACTCCAGACACAGGATGAGAGCATCAGCAGCAGCACAGGAAGCAACGGCCTAGAAACAGGAACTTTGAGATCATCAGCAAAGAGTGACCCAGATAGTCTTTTAAAAATTTGGCTCCAAGGGGGCTAAAATAAAGTCAGTTGGATCAGTTGGGTTATTTGTGAAATGAAACCCAGCTGAGACATAGACTGTCGTTACACATCATATACAACTCATAGCTTTATACCCAAAACCAACTGAATAAACCCACAACTGACTACTTATCCAATATCCTCGTCCAAACTATCACATCGAGATACACATCATGTCCTGACATAAAGTTTGCCTCCCCAAATAACCTGAGTCTACCCTATCAGGGCTGCCACGAGACTTCATGAATTTTCTCTATCTTGTCCCTGACACCGCCTTCTCATCCATATTTTGTATCCCAGAGCTCTATAGCTGTAACATAAGCTGCTAATTTACAAACCACATAACTGGTGTCACTGAAATACTAGCCAAACCCCAAACCCATAGTGAACCCACCCAGTGACTCTGCAGGTCATGTTAGTTCCAAGAATGGCTTGCGGGTGGATACTCAGTATTTCTGCAGTGCAAAAGCTCCTATCTGCACATGGCCCTTGAAACATACCTGACTGCAACGCCACCAGATTCAGAGGTTTGCATGCCAACTCTTTTACCTCCTAGAGGAGGAAAACAACATAGTTTTTCTCCAAATTAAATCTTACAGTAATATATCAGAAATACATTGAACTGAATCCGAACGAGGACAACAGCAAAAGACAGTCTGAGCAGGAAATTTATGCAATTTTTTTTTCATTACACAGTAGCTTTACCATATTACCAGCCAAACATTAACAAACCACATTAAGGCTTAACGCAACATGTCATTACGACTAAGTGCAAACAGCTGCCCCCCCCCCAAGAAGCTGTCCACACCCCAGCTGCTTCCCAACTTTTTAATAGGGGAGACCTGGATGAAATCCAGCGCTACAGGGGACAATCTGCCCAGCATTGCTGTTTGTTGCCTGCTAAGATAGCTAATTAACCTATGAGGCCATCAGGTGTCAGCCTTGCGAGGTAGTCTAGACAAGAAGCACAGAAGAACTAGCTCTACTTTATTATAAGGTTACATTAACAGAATCTTTCAGGTCCGAAAGTACATTTCTCCCCCGTCACCTTTGCAGCCCAAGAAACTAGGGAGGGTCCCCTCTGAGACATTTGCCATGTCCCTGTTACTTCCAAGGGCTCAGCTGCCTCTTATCCGACCGTTGCCCTAGCTGTGGCTCTTCCCCATCTCCCAAGGCCATTCCCATATACCATTACATCATGTGATGGGTTGGGTTTTGACACAGCTATCTGTCTGTCTGTCTGTCTGTCTGTCTGTCCGTCCGTCCGTCCATCCATCCATCCATCCATCCATCCATCCATCCATCCAATCTAGAAACGATGTGTAACGGCTCAGCACAGGAGTCCCTAAGTCCTTTCCGCCAGTAGGCGCTTTTGGAATTCTGAGTGAGTATTCTGGGCTGCCTTATAAAATAGTTGCCAGTCACAAAACCTCCCTTTATCAGGAAGCAAATCCATCCATTCACATTTTGGCTTCTAGGAATGCAGTGCCTGAAGCAGAGTGTGGATGGGGTGGAAGCAAGATGGCTTGCAGGGATACAGAATCCCAGAGAGGGATAGTGAGTTGTGTACACGAACATTAGATGTAGGGTTATTTTAATTTTAATTTCCATTCATCGTGCATTATGCTTTAATGTCTTGGGTGTACTAGTGCTTATTCCTTTCCTCTGCCTTGCATTGCATCGCTTTTTTAAAAATGGTGAAGAATCAAAGCCAAATTATACTAAACAGAATAAAAATAACAATAATACCACAATGAATATGCAGTCAAAAAGAAATTTCAGTGGCACTCTCGTTCCATCTCATCTAGAGATGCCGGTTTTGTAGGAATATGGCTGTGGGGCCGAGGGAGGGAAGGGATCTTGGGCTCTGCAGCTGAGCGCGAGTCCCTTTATCGAGCCCTTATTTCGGCCAAGCTATGGATTGGCTAGACAAAGGCTGGGACCGTTTCACCCGGTGCAAAGAGCCCAAATGACACACAAGGGGAAATTGCAACCTGTTTATTCTGTACAGCAATAAAGAGGCACTCTCGGGACCCAAGTCACAAATCGAGAGCCCCAATGTATAAATTAGCATAGCCTTTATAAATGTCTAAAAACAAAAGCACATAATCGTCTGATACCCTCATATCTAAAACTATGTGTTAGAATGGGAAGAAGAATGCTGAGACAAGCGAAGGGAACTGGACCCACTTCAGAAGAACACTTAGAAACGTTTGTCCGTTTGGGCCAGAATTGCCCCAAGAGCCTGCAAGAAAATAGTACTAGGAAATAAACTGATTTTTCAAAAGAAACCAGCATCAAGGTGTTCTATATTTTGGGATGGAGCTATTTATCATGGGTTATAGAGCCTCTGCAGATCTCTCCCATTTAGGGTTCTCACCATCTCCTTTGGATACAAAGTCAGGAAAGAGAATTAGAGGCATTGGTCATCAGCGCACGCAGCTCCCAAAAAAGACACTTGGAAAGAGAGCAGTAGAGACAGGTCCTTACCAGTTGGGCAGCACCACAGAGGATTTCTTGATGATATTCTGCTAATTTGCAGAGCAGCTACCCAACAAAGCAGCAGGAAAGTCACCAATTTACTGAGCCAGAAGTGTCAAGGCTAACACTGAGCCATGGTCAAGTGGATGCTCTTCATTTTCTACAGGAAAGATCGGAAGAATTCACCTCCTCCCCAGGAGAACACCACTTAGGATTTAGTTGGTCTTAGAACCAGTCTTCCCCTGGAGAATTGAGAGGGTAAGACAGATAGCCTAGAGCAAGGTTGCCCAAACTGTGAGGTGACCTCCCTTGGGGAAGTGC